ACCAACCCTGTTCTTCCAACCCCCAACCCTGCCTTCATCAAACACATGCAGAACTTAGTCTCGTGCACACTCTCCTGGCTCCTGCCAGTACATGTCCACTAGGTCCTGGACTTAATTCAGAGTGCAGTCCCTTTCTCCTACCTGTCCATCACATTCCTGGCTAAGTTTACACTGTAATTTAACCTTACTTTTTGGCTTAGTGGTCAGGAGATAAGGTGGGCAGAGCATAGGAATGGGGGTGTGAATCACATAATGAGGGCAGAAACTGCTCCATCATCATCATCAAACAAGAAAGAACACTAGCTGTTAACAGCGAAGAGTGGGCTACTTCTACAGACTGTGAAGTTTTGCATGAATCTGAGGACTCAAAAGTTTCTGCTTCATCAACCTAGATGTTCCCTTTCCATGGATCATGTATTTTGTTTCCATTATAGGGCCTAACCTTAGCATAGCAGAGCTGCTGTGGTTGAAAATTTAACCTTCTTGGGTTCTCTTCTTCTACTCTTACTGGGGTCAAAGTCCTCCTTGCCCTTTTGGTGCAGGATGTAAGAACCTCTCTTCTATTTGCTACCCAAGAGACCCTCTTCCTTTCACATTTAGGTTTTAATTTCTGATCAGTCATGTTCAGCCTTTGTATCTGTCTTGTGCTTCCTCAGTTGAGCTTAGCAATAGCTGTCTAATTGCCCTGTCCTTAGCATTAGTGTTTGCCTCATATTTCTCAAAAAAAAAAAAAAAAAAAGTATCACACCCCCACTAGTGGATTTCCTCTCACCAGAATACTGTCACAAGACAGCAACAGTAAAACATAAGTGGGGGAAAAGGTGTTTTATTTGGGGGCTGTCTCTGCCTTATCCCCAGTGAAGGAACCCATATTGCCTGCCCCATGATAGGTGATCCAACTACAGAATCTCATCTTTTTTTTATTTTTTGAGACGGAGTCTCGCCGTTGTCACCCAATCTGGAGTACAGTGGTGCCATCTCAGCTCACTGCAACCTCCGCCTCCCGGGTTCAAGCAATTCTTCTGCGTCAGCCTCCTGAATAGCTGGGATTACAGGTGCACACCACCACGCCTGCCTGGCTAATTTTTGTCTTTTTAGTAGAGACAGGGCTTCACCATGTTGGCCAAGCTGGTCTTAAACTCCTGACCTCAGGTGATCTGCCCGCCTCGGCCTCCCAAAGTGCAGGCATTACAGGTATGAGCCACCACGCCTGGTCCAGAATCTCATCTTAGTGTCTGTTTTCTCAGATCAACTGTTGTTGGTTGGGTTTCTTGGGAAGCAGACTTTGAGATTCACGGGCATGAAGTTTCATTTTATAGTCAAAACCAGTGGAAGGCATGAGACAGAAACAGAGTTGGGCTGCGATTCAGTGTCAGTAAAAGCCTCACGTGACCCCTGGGAAGCTCTGAATGTGAAATTGCCTTGTAGAGTTGTCCTGAGCGGTGGTGAGTGAGTCCAGCCTTTGTACCTCCAAATTGACCATTGATTGGATGCAGGCTAGCCCAGAAAGGGATGCAACCTTCTGCAAGGTAGCTCCTTTTCAGCCAAAGTTGTTCCAAAGAGGGCTAACCACTTAGGATTGTCTACCAGAAATATTTCTAGGAGCTGAGACAATAAATCCTTAATTCCCACAAGGGCATCTGGGTGGCATGTCATATCCATGACAGTTTCTGCAGTACATTTCCTTAATTTTATTTTGTGAATTACTCTTAGCCATGTGAGAGGGTGAGAACTTTATTGTTTCATTGATTAAAAATTTTCTTCTAGGAGTTTCTTCATTCCCATTTCATTCAAAGTCTGAGGCATGATTCTTTATATTTAATTACTAATAGTTTTCTCTGTTTTTGTTTCTCCATGTAATGAATCATTTATTTTTTCTATGGCCCCTTTACATAATTGAATAGTAAAACGAGATTTTTTTAAAAATCTATTTTACAAGATACTTCCAATCCCTCATCTAGCTTTACTACTTTTCAAAGTTTTAATGAATAGCTAGTGAAGCCATGGCAATACAATCAGCATTGTGTGTTATAGTTCCTAAATTATTTAAATATGCATGAAAGAACAGGGCATAATTTTCACCTTTATGCAAATATAGATTGTGACTAATAGAACACCAGTGGAAAAAAAATTTTTTAATTGTTTTTCAAGGAGTGGCAATAAATTGCTGGTAGTTACACTACTTGCTCTAACTATCCCCCTTAACCATATCCTAACCATATATGGTCACAGAGTCATTCTTCTAATCCCATGATGCTAACTGCCTTATCAAGACACCAAGCCTTTGATTTCTTGTTGAAAACATGTCTCCACATTTATTCTATTTTCAAATGGGTTAAGAGTTTCAAAAGTTGGATATTTTCAGTTTGAACAAATTCACCTGTAATATAGTAGCATGCTTGCCCCTTTTCTGGGTTTTACTTCTTTCAAGTAGCTCAGAACTTGCACTCATGCCTCCCTTAGTGATTCCTAGAACTTTCTTTGGCTGTTAATCCCTAATCACTTTCTTATGCTGATTATTCACATTTTTAGATGCTATAAAAATGTAACACCTTTTAAAGATACTTACTACAGTAGTCAGTGTGATTATTTTTAATGAAACACTTTAACATAGACCCTTCTTTTTCCAAGACTTTCCATTTAAAGACATAATAGAGCAGTTATTTTTAGATGTCCAAGCAAATTTGCAAGAACTACGGTATACATATAGCATGTTGTCCATAATTATCCAACAATCATTTGAACATGTTATATTTCCTGGCTCATAGAAACAGCAGGGATAGAAAAATTCGTTAGGCATGATTCCTACCCTCAGGGAGCCAACAGACAGATGTGAAGCCAGAATACCATGGTAGGTTGTAATCACCGCCATGACAGAGGTAGCACAGGAGAATAACAGTGGTGGGAAAGCTATTAGTCTAGGGAGAGGAAGGAACTCTGGAAGGAAGAGGACATTTCAGACAGTTTTGAAGAATCCATTCACCAGGTGGCTGTGAGGTGGAAAGGCACTACAGAGACAAGGAATGACATGTACAGAGGCAAACAGATGTCAGAAAACATGATAAAATCTGGTGACTACTTCGCTCTGTCTGAACACAATCTTCTTGTGAGGGAGTAGCACAAACTTGAGGCTGGAAAGGTAGGTAAGGTGGCCTTCACATAACAACTGAGGAATTTGCCCTTCATCTTGAAAGAAAAGGAATGATGTCAAATGACTTTGGAAGTAACACATCATTGGGAATGCATCAGTAACAGTAAACAAATCACGTTCATAGAGAACTACATTTGTATATCCACAGGCAAAGCATTTTCCTTGTTGTGGAAGTAAATACAGAGCTATTTGATACATGGACAAAAGAATGGTTCCACTTGGAATGAGGAGTTTTGAGTTCAACTAATTATAAAAATAAATTCCTTAGCTTTTGGGTGATTCCATGAAAATCTTTATTATTACAAGTATTAGATAAATTAGCTTCATCAAATTCATATGACACCCTTACAGAAAACACATTAAAATGTGAATGATCGTTTTCTGAGCATATCTAATAAAGGAAAAAAAAACTTTTTTTTTTTTTTTTCAGTAGTTATGGCCTTCACATCACTCTGGAATAATTTGTTGTTGTTGTTGTTGTTGTTGTTGTTGTTGTTGTTGTTGAGACGGAGTCTGCCTGTGTCGCCAGGCTGGAGATCAGAATCTCGGCTCACTGCAACCTCCGCCTCCTGGGTCCAAGTGATTCTCTTGCCTCAGCCTCCCAAGTAGCTGAGACTATAGGCGTGCACCATCACACCCAGCTAATTTTTGTATTTGTAGTAGAGACGGGGTTTCACTCTGTTGGCCAGGTTGGTCTTGATCTCTTGCCTTGGCTTCCCAAAGTGCTGGGATTATAGGCATGAGCCACCGCACCTGGCCAGTAATTTGTGTTTTAAAGCATAAAATAGTACTGTTATTTTAATATTCCTATAAGCCACCTCATCATTTTAATACCTTATATATTCACTAAGTAAAATTGCCATGATGCAAACATAGTAAATGCTGCTGGCCAGGTGCGGTGGCTCACGCCTGTAATCCCAGCATTTTGGGAGGCCGAGACAGGCAGATCACGAGGTCAGGAGATCAAAACCATCGTGGCTAACACGGTGAAACCCTGTCGCTACTAAAAATACAAAAAATTAGCTGGGTGTGGTGATGGGCGCCTGTAGTCCCAGCTACTTGGGAGGCTGAGGCAGGAGAATGGCTTGAACGCGGGAGGCTGAGCTTGCAGTAAGCCGAGATCGCGCCACTGCACTCCAGCCTGGGTGACAGAGCAAGACTCTGTCTCAAATAAAAAATAAAATAAATAAATAAATAAATGCTGCTACTAGAATAGATTTATTTGCAGTAATAGGCCTTTGCAATAACAGGATGTTTGATTTGACTGTGAACCTGTTTTTTTTTTTTTCCCCAAAGAAATTTTATTAAAATTATTGTACTTTTCAATAAAACAACCTTTTGTTAGCTGGAATTTATGAAGACAATTCTATTACTGAAAATTTGAAACATAGTTTATTGTTCATTTAACATGAGTGCAAAAACTTTTGGATGGTGAAATACTGTGATTTAAAATAATGCTGAAAACTATAATATATAGGTAAGTGTTGCTTTCAGGGTGAGAAAGCAAATATGATTGCGATCAGAATATCTGTTTTAAAAAATATAGTACACTCTGGAATAAAAAAGATTGAAAAGCATACGATTTTAAAAAGTGCTACACATAACTATTCTTGAAAATAAGGAATGCTTTTGAAGGACTAATACCAAATATCCTTGTTAAATACATTTTCTTTAATACAGGGTCATCCGCTTTTATGTTATTTTATTTGATGGGATGAAACTTGTTAAAATATAATTTAAAATATGTTTAAGTAGAATTGTATTATTTTAATGTATTGCAGTTTTTTTCTGTTTTTAAATGTACACATCAGTAAGACTACAAAACTTTTTTTATTATTTTTCCTTGTAGATTTATTCCTGACGACATTGAATGCCACCTCTAGTACCTTCCAGTTTGAGATATGGGAAAATTTGGTAAGAAATCTTTTCTTTGAAGCATTTTAAAATGATGGCTTTCAGTAAAAGCACACAATTTTAGAAAATAAAATGAAAATAATCACTTGGTTGATTTCAACAATAAATAGAAAACTTTAAGAGCCTTTGGTTGCATTGCTGCATTCAAAACTACTGAATATTGCTGGAGGAAGTGATTCATTCAGCATCAATTCCTCTGCAGGTTTTTAGGCATGACTGCCAATTAAACCAATCAGGCTGCCCTAATGTGCATGTTAACAGGACCCCTGCTATGCTGTCAGCTGTTGAGAGAGGTTACTGTCACTTAATTTGTCAGCATGATGGTTTATGAAAAAAACTATTTTAGAAAGACTAATTTTTCCCCTTTGCCTTTAGGCTTATGTAAAGAAATAAGACAACAAACACCAAACTTACTGCCAGGTTGACTAGGATTAAGAAATCTTTCCCAATAGGGTTTTGTTTTGTTTTGTTTAATTGTTAAGTAGAAGATTCCCAAACTGATGTCATGATTTTATTTCACTTTTAGCTTGATGTGAGTTATATGATGGGTTAATTACCAGACAAAACTGGCCATCACAGTGATATTCGTGAAGTATTGGCGAAGTATCGAACCCCACTTTCCACACACACAAAATTGGCGTAAGAGCCTGTGCTTCGCAGGATCTTTTTGAAGATCATGCCTGACATGCAGTAGGCATTTATTGAATTTTAATTTTAGGTCTGTTTATTTCCCATCTGCAACTCCTGATTGTATTTTATTCAATCCAAATTAAACCCGTAACCTTTTATAAATTTTATTAAAATGCTGATAAAAAATAAGCAAATTTTTGAAATGTAAAGCACAAACTTATGGAAGGAGACTCATTATTAGCCATGCCTCATAATGTGGTAGGTGATGCTGGTCATGACTCAGATCTCTTCATGGAAGGAAACTACAATGGGGGGTTGCTTTGTTTAGACGAGATCAGAGCTTCCGACTACTTCTAAGCTCAGCAATTTGATTCTTTTTTTTTTTTTTTTTTAAATGGGGCAAGGGAAAGTAAGACATCTAAATCAAAAAAGACTAATGTACTACTTTTTTTAAAAATGTAGTTATATTTGTTTTTCTGATGATAGAAATATGGTTGCTATATTTTTATGACTGCCATACATTAAGTCCCCACTGCTGGGGGAAGTTTGTTTGCAAGTGGTCTTTCATTGCTACCACAAATGAATCTTGTAGTATTAGAAAATGAGAGGTGTATTTGATTAACTTGTATCTGGGGGTCGGGGGAAGCCTCATTATAAATAGGTAGGATATCTATAGAACATAATGAAGCACCCTTAAGTATATGAGGTTCTTTCAGTCTAGGCTGAATTAAACGTAATGGAGTGAAGCAACTCAATAGGAGAAGATTCTTGATGAAGAGAACAGATTTTGGTTGGGTCTTTTATTATTGTTTTCTTTAAAGAAAACTAATAAATTCACTGTTAGGAAATGGGGACTAAGGACTGTTCTTATAAAGTGACCGGGTCAGTAAGTAACTTTAAAAAAGAAAAGTATTTTTAAACTCTTGTTAAAGATCGTAAGGCAGATTTTCTTTGAGAGGGCTCGTACAGTGGGGTTTTGCAGTAGGGGGAAGAGATTGGACTCACCTCCAAATACAACAAGGAAAATCAGGATGTTTTAACCAGTGAGCAAGATGGGGGTCAATGGAAGGGAAATTACTTGGGCAGTGGTAAGGATAAGTTAAGCAGAGTTCTCAGAGGAGCCTAACCAAAGTTTGGTCAAGGAGATAATCTTTCTCAGTTTCCACAGTGACAATAGTTAATCATTAGTAGATTCAGAATTAACTAGTATAGGTAAAGTGTGGTTTTCATAAAATGAATGATCATTTTCAATTAAAGATTGAACAGAGACTTTGCAGTCGCATACTAATTGGCCAAAGAAACCTCAAAGCCTATAAAACCACATTAGCCAGTGGAAGAATGAAAGCTGCAACAAATCTTTTTACATATCAGTCAGTTATCTATACAGCCCCATGGTAGTGCTCTGGCAGATACAGAAGTGAATAGGGCTTGTAGACTAGGAGCTGGGATGTGAGTATGGATGACCCTGGCTGGTATGATGAGATATACATTATGCTACAGGAATTCAAAGAGCAGTTGCTTCTATTTGATTGCAGAATTATCAGTGAAGGCCTCAAGAAAAATGTGGTATTTAGGCCGGGAGTGGTGGCTCACACCTGTAATCCCATCACTTTGGGAGACTGAGGCGGCCAGATCACCTGAGGTCAAGAGTTCAAGACCAGCCTTGCCAACATGGTGAAAACCCTTCTCTACTGAAAGTACAAAATTAGCCTGGTATAGTGGTGCATGCCTGTAGTCATAGTTATTCAGGAGGCCGAGGCAGCAGAATTACTTGCATCCAGGAGGGGGAAGTTGCCGTGAGCTGAGATCGCACCACTGCACTCCAGCCTGGGCGACAAGAGCAAAACTCTGTCTCAAAAGGGAAAAAAAAAAAAAAAAAAGATGTGGTATTCAACATGGCTAGTATGAATTAAAGGATTTTAGTGATTTGAAAGTGAGAAAGAAAGAGGAAAAGGCAGGCAAGGAATTGCACAGGAGACACAGGACACATCCAGATGGTGGAAAGTGGCTGGTTTAGGCCAGAACATAAAAGAGATAATGGAATGTAAGACTAGAAAAATTGGTTTATGCAAGATCAGCAAGAGCTTTGATCTCTAAACTAAGTAATTTGATCTCTTAAAAATCTACTGAGAAGCTGTTGTTTTAGGACTGAGAATGAGATGAATAGAACCTTCATTATTACAATTAAATTGGCCACTATATATCAGATAGGTTAGCATGCAACATCTGGAGGTGGAGAGATTAAAGTTTATAATAAATTTAGGAGGAATTTATAATAACGTGGGAAAGAGATGAATGATTAAAGAAGGAAATGTTGAGAATAGACAAGAAGGGTTAGATATGAGAATACAGGATGACCATTAACACAATGCTTACTTACGTTTTGTTCTGGTGAGCAATAAGAGAAATAGAGGCCAGGCACAGTAGCTCACACCTGTAATTCCAGCACATAGAGGGGCTGAGGCAGGCAGATCATTGGAGGTTGGGAGTTCAAGACCAGGCTGGCCAGCTGGTGAAACCCCATCTCTTCTAAAAATACAAAAATTAGCTAGGTGTGGTGGCACTTGCCTGTAATCCCAGCCACTTGGGAGACTGAGGCAGAAGAATCGCTTGAACCTGGGAGGCAGAGGTTGCAGTGAGATCATGCCACTGCATTCCAGCCTGGGCAACAGAGCAAGACTCCATCTCAAAAAAATTTTTTTAAAAGAGAGAGAAATAGAAAAGACAAAAGAAGTAACTAATTTGGGGCAGGAAAAAAAATTATTTTAGAATAGAGACATGTCTCCCAGCTACTCAGGAGGCTGAAGCAGGAGGATTGCTTGAGCCCAAGAGTTTGAGGCTGCAGTGAGCTATGATTGCACCACTGCACTCCAGCCTGAATGACAGAGCAAGACCTCATCTCTATATTAAAATTATTTTTTAAAAAGCAAAAAACAGAGACAACGAAGTGGTTGGAAATGTAGGAACAGAACTCAAGGAAGAAAGTAGATAAGTGTCATGAAGAAAGAGTTAAGAATGGCAAAACCAGATCCTTGGACACCCTTTATGTCAGAATTTTTCAGCCTTGGCACTGTCACCATTTTGAGCCAGATAATTCTTTCTGTGAAGAACTGTCTTGTGCATTGTCGGTTGTTTAGCAGTATCGCTGACCTCTTCTCACTAGTTCATAGTAACCACCTCCCAGTTGCGACAATCAAAAATGTCTGCAGACATTGCCAGATGTTCTCAGGGGACTAAAATTGCCTCAGTTGAGAACCATTGCTTTACATGAATAAAGATAGGAACATGCAGTCGTCATTACATACTGCTTCATGGTCAGTTTTTACCTTTATAAATATGGCAATTTTAACATTAAATATTAAACATGAAAGCCAAAGCAATGGTAGTCATCCATGAAAGGCTACTTGCTACCACATGACACTTTTGGTTGGAATTCAAGCAGAAAATGGGAGAAAGTCTCCTTGTCAACAGCTGTGGGTTAACTGCTTCAGTGGTTTTGGTAGTTGTGGTAGCAGTAGTTACTACTAGTGTTCCTACTACTACTACACTATTATTAATGTTAACTAAATGCATGCTGTGTGCTAGGCACTATACTGAGCATTTTATATGGATTATCTCCTTAATCCTCAAAATCCTTGTAAAAATACATTTTTTAGTAAGTCAAGGAATGCCTAGAGAAGGACTAACTTATTCCCGCCTCATGGCTAGCAAACAGTGGAGCTGAGAGTTGAACTAGGAAATCTGTTTCTAAACCTTCTACCCTTAAGTCATTGAAATTAGTACACAATAATTCCAGAAATCAACTTGGAAAAGAAAAGGTAAAGAGATGGCTGCAATAGAGCCCCTAGTGAGTTCGTTGAATTTTCGATTGCAGGGAAACAGTGCAGATCGGTAAGAACACCACAGTAAAAAAATGCTGCAGTCAAAGGATACAAAATTGCAGCTAACTAGGAATAATTTCTAGTCTTCCATAGCACTGCAGTTGACAGGATGGCTGCCGTTAACAATAATATATAGTTTCAAATAACTGGAATTGACTGGAAATCGACACAGGATTTTTTCAGTGCCACTTCACCAGCTAGAGACCTCCACTGCTGGTGGGGCCTCTGCTCAAGTTTCACTTACAACCGCTGGGCTGGCTCTGCCCATGCGACCTGGCAGGTTGTGCTTGGCTCACGCTACCAGCCCTAGTCTCACACCCACTGTGGGCAAGCCAGGCACAGCGTGATGAGGGGTGTATGAGCAAGTGAGTGCAGGGCAGCTACTCCAGGCACCGACTCCATGCAAGGCTGAGGCACAACCAGGCGTACCACAAGCAGCTTCTGACTTAGGTGCCAGAGTTTGGATGAGGGGAGCACGGTGGTGCCTGAAAAATTTGGAGACACCAGCAACTGCAGGGCCCTAAAGTGGGTGTTACAGTGGGCAACCAGAGATTGAGCAAGGTGAAGAAGAGTTTTATTTAGCAACAGAATAGCTCTCAGCGGAGAGGGGACCTGAAGTGTGCAGCCCCTACCCAAAGGCAGGGAATCCCCACATGTAGCTGAGTCTGGGGTTTTTATGGGCTCAGAATGGGGGAGTGCATGTTGATTGGTCCATGGCGGCCTGGAAAAAGCACCATTTTATTGTCTAAGAGGCATCGAGGAAGTTCTCACTCTGGTCGGGGACTTTACTCGAAACTGGCTGCATGGATTCAGGCTTTAGTTTTTCTTTGGTTTGAAGGTGGGGTTTCACTGGGGACCCATCCCTATCTGCCTAGGAATTTGTCTGTCTCCTGCCACTATTAGATGGAGGATATTGAGGCTGGGCATGGTGGCTCACGTCTGTAATCCCAGCACCTTGGGAGGCCAAGGCAGGGAGATCATGAGGTCAGGAGATCAAGACCATCCTGGCTAACACAGTGAAACCCCATCCCCACTGAAAACACAAAAAAATTAGCTGGGTGTGGTGGCAGGTGCGTGTAGTCCCAGCTATTCAGGAGGCTGAGGCAGGAGAATGGCGTGAACCCAGGAAACGGAGCTTGCAGTGAGTCGAGATCGTGCCACTGCAATCCAGCCTGGGCGACACAGCAAGACTCCATCTCAAAAAAAAAAAAAGGTGGAGGATATTGAGTATTCTGAATAGGAAGAAATGATAAATGTTTGAGATGATGGATATGCTGATAACCCTGATCCAATCACTATACATTACAAGTATCACAACATCACTGTGTGCCCCATGAGTATGTATAATTATTATTTATCAGTTTTTAAAAAATAGTACAGTGTAAAAAAAAGTAATGTTGTTTGTTTCATAGCAAAATTACTCTCATACTAAAGAATATAAATATACAAATAGGTGGAGATTCCAATCCAAAAGTAAAAAAGAGAGTCAGACCATGGAGTAAATGAGGACCAAATGGCAGCCTGTGAAAAAAGTACTTGCAAATCATAAGCACAGGACTGCCATTATGACAGTACCATGTAGGTGCCTGATACATTGCATTTTGCAGAACCCTTTGTTATCTTTCATTCCATTTGACCTCTCCAGAACCCTGCAAGTAGACAGTACATTTAACCCCTTCTAACAACTGAAGAACTGAAGCCTAGAACAGTGAGTGGCTATCCCAAAGTGACATAACTTTTCAATGAAAGCAGGACTGGAACTCACCTCACCTTCCTCCAAGTCTGGTGTTCTTTGCACCAGACTGTTCTCCCAGAATATGTACAAAATGGAAAACAGTATTTATCATGTTTCTCTTCCCTCATTAATAGCAACAGAGCAGCTTCATCTTTGAAAATGAGTGTAGTTGTGCTACACTTTAAAATGTGTTATCTATTGAGATAAAATATATTGATGATGCAGTTTATTAAATCATTTTGTTACATATTAAATATGTAAGTAATCTGAATGCAAATGAAGTTATATATGTCTATACTGCTAAGCAAAGTAAAGAACAAGTAATGATAATAATGGAAAAGTTGTCTAATAAAGTGTTGTCTTTTCCCCCAACTCTGTCATATGTATAATGTGTTCTGCTTACTCTCACTGTGGTCAGAATGTATTCTTTTCCTCCAGCAATTAGAAGTGGGCATTGCTCTTCTATTGATGTTCAGTGTAAAAGTGGCATCTTAGAAGACATGGAAGGCTGTTACTTCAATGTTTCTTGATGGAGATAAATCATGAGGTTATATCCATATAATTCTAGATATATTTACCAAAATTAATAGACCTTCAGTGGGGTAATTTGTTCACTTCCAGTTAGTATATTGAGTTGACATTCAGCTTTATCTCATAGGAGGCTGATATATTTTAAGAGAGATTTTTCCATTCATTCATGAAACACTGTATACACTCTACACAGTGCTGTGATCTGTCTTCCCTTTTTTTTTTTTTTTTTTTTGAGGTGGAGTCTCGCTCTGTCACCCAGGCTGGAGTACAATGACTCAGTCTTGGCTCACTTGCTCGCTCCACCTCCCAGGTTCACATGATTCTCCTGCCTCAGCCTCCCTAGTAGCTGGGATTACAGGTGTGCACTACCATACCCAGCTAATTTTTTTTGTATTTTTAGTAGAGACGGGGTTTCATCATGTTGGTCAGCTGGTCTCGAACTCCTAACCTCAAGTGATCTGCCTGCCTCAGCCTCCCAAAGTGCTGGGATTGCAGGTGTGAGCCACCGCACCCAGCCAATGCTGTGGTCTTTCTAAAATGCAAAAGCACTTGACAGTTCAGCTAGGGATTTGGCAACTTTGACACATCTCTAATGCAGTTTCAGGTTCTAGGTAAGACTGGAGGGAAAGCCTAAGGCTTAATACCCTTACTAAATAAGATGTCTGTAGAAAATCATTGAAAAGTACATCAGATGATTTAATAATGGAAGGGGAAACATGTTTCTGCACAGGGATAATGGAGTGTTAAAGTGGTTGGAACATTGCTTGTCACAAGAAAAATCTTATTTCTTTACTCATGGTTCTCAAGCATTTGGGTTTTGTGCTTTTGTTATAGCAGTGCATTTCTCTGTAAAGATCAGCAATGATTTCTTAAGAAACTGACTTGCAGATTGTGATATTATGAAATACATATTTGATGTTAGTCCCCATTTCCTAACATACAACTTCTGAAAGACCTAGAATCGCCAAAGGGATGTCTTTTTGTATGCTAATGAGTTGAATGGTGGATGGCAACCCCAAAATAACTTCAGAATGTGGCTGGTCACCAGAATGACCAATACATAATTAGAGGAGTGGGACTTTTAGCCCCTCCCTACAACCTCCAGGGACGGGTGAGAGTCTGAAGGTTAAAGTAATCACTAGTGGCCAACGGTTTCACCAATCATGCCTACCTAATGAAGCCGTCTTAAAAACCTAAAAGAACTAGGTTCTGAGAGCTTCCTGATAGCTGAACAGGTGGGGAAGTTCCTGGAGGGTGGAGTGCCCAGAGAGGGCATGGAAGCTCTGTGACCCTTCCGTACCTCGCCCTACTCATCCCTTCATCTGTATCCTTTGTAATATCCTCTATAATATCCTCTATAATATCCTCAGTAAACATGTTTCCCAGAGTTCTGTGAGCCACTCCAGCTGTGAATCCAAAGAGTAGGTGGTGTGAGTCCCAACTTGAAGCTGGTCAGGCAGAAATACTGGAGGTCCAAATAACGTGGGGGACTGGTGTCTAGGATAATTTGGGGAACTGAGCCCTCAACGTGTGGAATTAGAGGACAGCCAGGTGATATCCACTGCAGAAATGATTGCTTGTTTATAGCGGGGAAAAATCCCCCACATGTAGTCACAGAAGTCTTATGTCTGTTGATTCTTGTGTGAGAGCATAAGGGAGAAAACCAGTGCTCGTTTTTTCACTCAGACAGATCTACAGTATCCTTAGAGGAACAAAGAAGGAAAAACGCATTTTAAAGTATACAGATATCCTGTATACAGTATGTAGGAATCTGAGTCAGTATCTCAAACAGAAAATAGAGAGGTCGGTGATAAGAACTCTGTACAAACCTGAGAGCTCAAAATTTCAAATTCATTGTTTTGATTTCTTTTTCTTGTGTAATAATCTAAAATTATAGAAGGGAAAGACAATAATTTAAAGAAATGCGTATTGTTTTTGGTAGTGAGATGTGTGCTGTTTTTGTTTGGAAAGAGTGAGTGAAACAAAGGATCGCTAATAAGCTCTCCTTTTCTGTTTAGCTTAGGCACCCCTGCTTCTCAGTTAGCATGTGGCTGCTGTTGTAATCCTTTGCTTCCCTTCTAATTGATACGTAAGCTTGAGTTGATGATGGATTGTCACTTTAAGGATCAATGGAATTCTCCTCTCATTTCAATATCTTTTCTTAATTGTTCCCAAAAGAATCTTCTTCCCTTAAAATCTGCAAAACATGTCTTTATACTTATACTGTTTATGTGTTACCGTCAGAAAAGCTTTCTTTCTGACTTGTATTCTATCTCCCAAATGACTGTAAGCTCTTTGAGGGTAGGAACTAGTTTTATAATTCTTTATATTTCCAAAGGCTTCCACAGTACTTGAAATTATTACTCTCTGAAATTATGATGATGAAATGGTAAAAGATACCAGAATCGACAGCAAGGAAAGCATACCAGATTCATATTTTCTTCTTCAACGCACAGGAGTTTCCTTTGCTTCAAAATAAAAGTGGAACAGGAGATTGGAATAATTTTTGTGCAACACAACAAAATCCTGAAGTTATTTATTTCCCTAGTTCAGTTAGAATGCTTTGTTTTACATTTAACAAATGAGTGGACTAAGATGGTCTAATTCAAAGTTTTCTTCATTTAACAGGATGGAAACTTCTCTGTCAGTACTATATTGGAAAAACCTCAAAATATGATGGTGGTTGGACAGTCAGCATTTGCAGACTTTGGTAAGATTTGGTAAAAAAAAAAAAAAAAAAAAAAATGGCTTTTGCCTTTCCAATTCTCTCCCTCTTTTTGATCTATTTATATTAATTCCCCATAGCAGGAAATAACTATTATAGCTTCAAAAGATGCCTATTCTATAATAGTACGGTACATGACATGTCAATTCCTTAATGAAATAAGGAGAAATTTATGATGTATTTAAAAAATAGTTTAATACTGTTTGCAGAAGTAATATGCAAAACAAGAAAATCTACTGAGACTTTTTCTAAAGAATACCAGGTATTAATTACCATAAATTCTTCATGTACATCCAACATACGGAACAAATAGAAGTGAAGGAGTTAATCTGACCTCTTAAAACCAGTACTAAAAGCCATTTTTATTTACAACTTAATTTTAAAGCAGAGTAATATCTATTATGAATTACCCAAAAGAGGACATATGAATTTCTGTTTTCCGTAAGATTCTGCACAATTAAGTTCACATTGGTCAGGAACTTCCAAAGCACGTGTGGCTCTTTTTATCATTTGTCAAAGTAATTATATTAGATGGGAAAGTGGTCTGGGTGACCCCTACCTAAAAGCTGTTCAGTGCTTGTTCCCGTCCCGCCGATCCTTCATTATGCCAGTAAACACCGTAGGCTTTCCTCAACATGTAGATGAGACATCACCATGTTCAGATACCTCAGTTTCCTCATATATAAAGTGGAAATGACAATAATATCCACCTCTAAAGGCTATTATGAACAGCACAATGTAAATAAAGCACAGTGACAGGCTTATAGCAAGAGCACAGGAAGTTAGAGTTTGAGCTGGATACAGTGGCTCTTGCCTGTAGCCCGAGCTACTTGGTAGGACTCTTTGAGCTCAGGAGTTCAAGACTATCCCGGGCAACCTAGTGGAACGTCATCTCAAATTGTAGTTTGAGTCTATTCATTGGACTTACCTGTTTTTTGTTCTTGTTGCCTCTGCTGCTCTTTATACAGCTGACTAAAACAACTCACTGTTCAGTGTCATATGGATGTGTCCTGACACGGCTACATCAGGAGTTTTGATAATGTCATATCATGGAAATTTTAACCTGAATCTTTATATTGAATATTATGTTAATTTTGAGTAAATTTCTATTGCTTTTACAGCTTTTAATGCCAATAGTCAAGTGGTAGAGCACATGACATTATTTTTTCGAATTTGCTGACTAATTTGATTAGCTAGATTAATAACAGCTCTCTCTGCAAGTCTCTCTTTAGGAAAAAAGTATATATGTACTATATAATTCTCAGGGAGTGCAGAGATGTCTCTGACCCCCTTAACTCCTGGTTAAAAAAACTCCAAATTAAAGTTATATCTTTTGTGATCGTGTGTTTTATATCATAACATGCCTTACTTTTAACAAAATTATCAGTAGCCTTGAGGATTTTTTACATTTTGATAAACATAAACATTTACACGTTAGTGTTTTTAAGATATGCAGATTATAAGACACAGTCAGATTAAGAAACATAACTATTGCTCCCTGTTTCTATTAGTTTTCGGTAGTTTATCAGTAAACTTTTTTTAATGTATTAGTACACTTTTAATAAATATCACACATTGGCATTTTAGTTGAATATTGGCAAAAAAGACTGCTGGGTTCAAAAATATGAATATTAACATATCGAAAATATGCATTCTTCCTGTGAAAAGTGTACATTTGAATGCGTTTGTGAATTGCATCCAGCCCTCTGTCTTCCTTTCCACCTACTTCATTTGAACCAAAACAAGGGAAGTGACTGACAGCCAGGAAGTCAGCATGATTCCAGAAATTTACCATTCAGTTGATAAAGAGTGCACATGCTTAAATAAATGATAAGCCGGGCGCGGTGGCTCAAGCCTGTAATCCCAGCACTTTGGGAGGCCGAGACGGGCGGATCACAAGGTCAGGAGATCGAGACCATCCTGGCGAACATGGTGAAACCCCGTCTCTACTAAAAAATACAAAAAACTAGCCGGGCGAGGTGGCGGGCGCCTGTAGTCCCAGCTACTCGGGAGGCTGAGGCAGGAGAATGGCGTGAACCCGGGAGGCAGAGCTTGCAGTGAGCTGAGATCCGGCCACTGCACGCCAGCCCGGGCGACAGAGCGAGACTCCGTCTCAAAAAAATAAATAAATAAAAATAAATGATATACGTGACAAGAAGTCTGTACCAAAGAGAAGTGTTTAAAGGCTCCCAGCTCACTTGTCTAAAAAAAAGAGAGAAGACTAGAAAGAAACACAGCCAAAGGGTAATAATGGTTTTGTTAAAGTAGCAAAATAGGTTATCTTATTCCCTATTTTCCAAATTTTGTTATGTGGCTAGAATAATATGTTAATTTAATAGTGAAAAAGTAAATTGTAGAGAAGTAGTAGTCAACAATGGCAAGAAAGAAACCAAAGTATATACTAACTGCTGAGTAAAAAAAGTGTTCGAATTTTTATCTTAGAACTTTTGAGTTCATGTAAAATTGATACTATTTTTTGAGTGGCGTGAACGACTCATTTAGAAAAGGTCATGTATGGCTTGGTGTGGTGGTTTGTACCTGTAGTCTCAGCTTCTCGGACTGAGGCAGGAGAATTGCTTGAGCACAGGAGGTCAAGGCTGCAGTGAGCTGTGGTCGAGCCACTGCACTCTAGCGTAGGCAACACAAGTGAGACCTCATCTCTAAAAAAATTTTTTTTGAAGAATGAAAGAAGAGGTTATGTAGTTTCACAGGGTCTTTAACACCAAATAAAATGCAAAAGTTAGACCGCTGAGAAAAACATTGAATTTCTATTATGCTTTAAATATTGTGCTGAATACTATATAAGAAAACTGATTTTAAAGGTAAAGTCCTTGCCTTTAGGAATTTTACAGGCCTGGTGCAGTGGCTCACACCTGTAATCCCAACACTTTGGGAGGCTGAGGCGGGAGGATCACTTGAGCTCAGGAGTTTGAGACCAGCCTGGGCAACATGATGAAACCCCGTCTCTACCAAAAATACAAAAAAATTAGCTGGGCATGATGGCACAAGCCTGTGATCCTAGCTATTCAGGAGACTGATGTGAGAGGATCACTTGAACCTGGGAGGCAGAGATTGCAGTGAACAGTGATCGTGCCACTGCACTCCAACCTAGGAAGGAAGGAAAGGAGGGAGGGAAGGAGGGAAGGAGGGAGGGTCCATTGGGGAAGACAGAATATGAATATGTTAAAAAAAAAAAATACAAGAGTAAAGCAACAAGCTACCACGATATAAGAGAAACCAAACTGCATTTCATTGTTGATTATGAAATTAATGCCATGGAAAAAGTGCTAAGTCTTGCAGCAACATAGATCATCTTAAGCTGAGAAAGGGTACAAAAGTCTCATGGAAGTGGTGAGATTTTGTACTGGACTTTGAAACAAATCTAAGGTTTGCTTAAAATATGTGGAGATATAAAAATGGTTTGGTTAGTGACTAGTGAATAAATCACTTTGGGTTGAATCGACAGTTTCTGTAAAAATATAGAAGCATAATAAATGGCCTGGGAACCCATTGGATTACCAAATGAGTAACAGATGAACAAATGTTGATTTTATTCTGTAGAAGTGATGGGAAGTAGTGGAACAATTTTGAACATCTGTTAATACCTTTTTTATTAACTTCAGAGAGTAAAGTTGAACAAAATCTTCTGGTCTGGTGGGATATGCATAATGTAATGCTTCTTGAGCATGCAGTAGGAGTTCAGAGGAAGATTATTAGAACCTCTGAGGTGCCTGAGATTTTGATGTTAACAGAGAAGCAGATTTAAACAATCTTAAAATACAGTATTTTCTAAAGGTGGAAACCACTCAGGAGACAGGTCAGGGCATGAGATGGTGCGAGCCGGAGCTGAACTACATCAGTATGTGGAGGGAATCAGTAAATTTCTAATTGGTTTGACACTAGAGAGAGTAAAAAGTAAAAAACTGACTCTGAATAACCCAAAGAAGGGCAATACCATTCACAAAGATAGGTGAATCAGGAGAGAGAGCTGAATTAGGTACTGAAACACTTTAAAATTTATCACATTAATCGTGCTGTAAAGACAACAAAACCATCACATTTAGCAGACCTAAGCTGAGGGAAAAAGCCAAGGCAGTTGTGAGAGCCCTTTAAGAGGGAAGAGGTCAAGACTGAGATGAGCCCTCCAAAGAAGAAGGTGTAAAATGGAGGTGGACAGAGGGCTAAGGAGGGAGAAAAATGGATGCTAAAAGGTGGTCAGAAACCATCGGCATGTATTAAAATATAATGCGAAAGAAGACCAAAAAAAGACCTTTCGATTTTCATTTTAGCAGTGTATTAGTGGCCTAAAAGTTATCATTTGCAGAATTCTTACAGCAGTCCCTGAGTCATAGAAATTACCCAATAAATACTTGCTGCTACTGGTAAGTGTCAGATGAGGTTCTGGGCTCTAGTCTCATATTTGGAACATCTGCAACCCATAAATGTCTGTCAGCTAAGAAATCATCAAGGAAGGTGTATCTTCTGGAAGACATGTTTTCTGTCTTGCCCTACTATATCATCCTTTTAAACTGTATGTTAATCTTGAGTCTCTTTCTACGTAGGCTCTGAATATCAAAATCTAGAGTTCCTATAAATAAGGTGTTATCTCTTATTAAATTATATAGGACAAAAAGTCAATAGAAATTAGACTTACAGAAAATGGGTATCAATTTTGTATGTAATACTAGATGTAGTGGAAATCAATAAAAGCTATAAAACTGAAGGAAAAACAGAAACCTTATACAGAATGTCATCATTTTTTATAGATTGAATTATTGTAAATGTCATATAAATTTATTTATAAATTATACATATCTCATGCTAACTGCTGTGTATCACATCTTCAGAAGGAGATCACACTTTCTTCTTCAAGTAAAGGGAGAATACTGGGCATGATGAATTGGGACTTGGAATTGTCAGTCAGATCTAGATAATCCTATAAAAAATAAAGGAGCTAATGAAAATGGAAAACTGTCATTCGTGAA